AGTGGTTGTTAATCCGATGAATTCCTTTTCCTTAAATTCACGAGGGGTAGTGAGGTAAAAGGAGGGGTATATCTTGGTACCTACTATCACAGCCTTTAAATTCACCAGGTAGTGACATTCAATTATCACGCCCCCCCTCCTCTCCTACTCTATCAGATCCCAAAATTATTATCTTCACTTGAAGATATGGACATCCACCACAACCTCGATATCAATCACCATATCCCTCTCAATCATCAATCCAAAACCGAAACAGTAATAGGGCTTCGAATTCACAATCTCAACACAATCGAAACCCAATTCCTCCATCATTCCATGGCAGTTTTTCGTCCGCTCATACAATTAATGGAAACAATGATAGCCTTACCAGCAGATTTTCGAAAAAGGTTCAAAGCCTTACTATGATGGTCAGATGACATAATATTTCGGCGAAATAGAGTATTCTGGGCCACCTGGGCAAGTCATTTACTCAAGTTAAACATGCATCAAGATATATGATACACTTGCCACTCCTTAGATCTGAGGATACCAACAAGGACCCCCGGTAAATTTCAGGGCATGATTTGACTTTCTTTTGATGGAAAGAATAGGAAGAAGTCAAGAAAGAAAAGTAGCAGTAAAAAATGAAAGGAGATAGATTCACAACTAGTGACTCTGAATGGGATGAGATGAGATGAGATGAGATGAGATGAGAAAAGTATTGATTGCTGAAGTTTTATCCCCTAGACTGTCAACTAGCGGCGCCGTCGCTTAATGAGCACTTATTGACTAATTAAAATATCAGGATTTTGAGATTTCTTATTATTTTGATGTATTTTCTTAAAATAATTATTCAATATTTTATGTTTTAATAAAAATAAATAGTATATCTTTTAATTCTTTATATAATGTTTTATTTATTCTTTTTTTTAAAAATAAATATTGAGTTTTTGATTTAATATATATTTATAAGTATATATTATATAAAAATCGCTGGAAAATATTTCTTATATTCTAAGGTGAGATATAATATTATTTATAAAATTATTTAGTTATTATTTTATAATTAAAAAACTATATATATAAAATTGATATATTTATTATTATTTTTCAACTAAATTATAATCTTAATATATAATATCAAAGGTTTTATATATAATATTATTAATGAAGTTATTAATGTTCTTGCTTAGTGCACGGACCACATACGGCGCCGCTAGCCGGCAGTCTAGGGGATATGGAACGAGAGCTTAATAACACAATGATCAATATCAAATAAAAGACAACAAAACTCTCCGTCAAACTGACAACTTTCAATTGATATCCTAACAATTCAGCACTGCCGCGGACTATCACTATAAACAAACATAAATTCTGCCTTTACGAACCCCAAGTTGGCGACTGCAGATTGTTAGATTATGTTGAAATAGGTCGCAGTGGAGAATGAACTGATTGAAATTTGGGTATGGTTTATCATATTGTTGTTTTGACTAAAGAGAGAGCTATCTAGAATATGGATGGTTGTGCCCTCTATGAGTGCAACCGCCATTTAGGCCATAGCGCCAATACTACGGAAACTGACTGCGGCGAAACACTTTTCTTTAGCTTGGAATGTACTGCTCTTAACTCATTGAATATCTAAGTGTTTAAATAGGTACCTGTAGAAGATCATAGGTTTTGATATTGATGTTCAGGTCAAGGATAAAAGAAAGAGGGGAAGCGGATAAGAATCATCGATTCGCTAAGACAAACATGCAGCAGGTCTATTGACTTGACTATCTACTGACATGTTCCACAACCTTACCATCTAGATTCCCTCCTGATCTGCAGATAAGGCTATTCAATTCACCGGCCCATGTTCCTCCCCTTTCCCCTCCTCTCAAACCAGTACTAAATCCCCATTTCCCGCCTATAACTAAACTCACTTCCTCCCATCATTTTATCTCCAAATAGGAGGATCCCATAACCATAAATTACAGTCATATGAAATCCAAGAAATGTGATTTTGCTCGCTGGAGTAGCTGTACAATTTCTTTGCATAGACAAGGGAAATAATATAAGTGATACCGAGGACATGCGGGACTTGACGACTAAATTCTAACTGACAATAAAAACAGATGAAGACACCAATCAAAGGTATAGAATTGAAATATAAGTGACAACAACACCGTGAGTGAAAGCTTCTAAATGACAACCAATTAAGACTCCAAACCCAATCACTGCTCCTAGAGCCCTGATCAACACCGCATCATTATAGAATTTCAACTTCTGCGATCCATCTCTCGCTTTCTTAATTCTTTTTCTGCCGATTGAAAAGTTTCTGGGGTGTACTTCTCGCATGTAGTATCAAGTTGATACCCATTCTATATCTTATGTAGCGTTTGATTCCTGGCGAGTCCGAGAACTTATATGCATGACCATCTTGATATTCGTGATCTGGATTAACATTAATGCTTCGCTTGTTGAAGACAAGAACAGCTTGTAATCCATCTATTCATTCACTCAGGAAACTGTTTCCATTGCCAGGGCCGCTCTTGTTCTCTTGTTTTCTTCTCCTTCTTGGACTCATCCACTACTGGTATCATCTGATTCACCTTCAACCCCTCCTTTCTCCTCTCCTCTCCCCTCCCCTCTCCTCCCATTCCCCATTCTCATTCTCATCCCCAGCTCCAAATCCCACCTCCCCTATAATTAAAACCGCATTAAGATCTCCAATTGATCTATATCCATCTCTCATACCTATAATCTCGCCCTTCAAGATTCTGTCTGGTTCCAACGTTAACATACACCCAAGAAACACGAACTACAGTCTACCTATGTATCCCCATGAATATTTACTGCTACATAGCACAATACAGCGGGATATAGCACTGTGATATTATAATCAACATCCCAAAAGCAACAACAAAAATAAAAATAAAAATAACACAATAAAATAACCCAACAATAACAAAGAAACTCTCACATAACTGTAAATCCAAGTACTAATATCCTCTCACCTCCCCTATTCCCATTTCCTCCCTCCTCCCATCCCCAAACTTCTCCACCCCAAGACACACCATCCATTATCACAACTTGACCAGCTCGTTTTTTTTTTTTTTTTTTTTTTTTCGGAAACCCATCATCAAGAACCCAAAATATTTCTCTCCATCCACAGATCCCAATCCATCTACACTTAAATATCCACAACAACCATCAAAAAAATTCACGAAGCCTCTGCGATCCTTCGCCGCTCATCCATCTCCTCTGTATCAACCCTCCCGTGTAAAATAGGAAGAGGAAGATTCTATAAATCCATATCCTTAACCTTCTCCTTCCCTATTATATCATATCCACAAACCACAAACCCACAAACCCACAAACCCAAAAATCCAATCGCAATAATCCCAATCCCAATCCCCGCACCTCGCTACCCATCCCGTACCATCGATCGATCGATTTCTATCTACCCAGGTATATCATCATGAAAATATACTCTATACTTGTACATGGGAACTAAGATGTTATTTTGAAGAATAAGGAAAGAGAGTAAGGAGATATATATATATATATTCTTACTTTTCCCTTACTCTTCCCTTACCCTTCCCTTATCTTTCCCTTACCTTTCCCTTATTTTTCCCTTATCCTTCCCTTATCCTTCCCTTACCCTTCCCTTATTCTTCCCTTACCCTTCTCTTATTCTTCCCTTACTCTTCCCTTACCCCCTCGCTCTCATCCCTCCATACAACCCATCCATCCATCCATCCATACATTCCCCTCAACAACAAATCCACAAATCCACGTATACCACACATATTTCCCTTTTCTGCTTCCCATTTTACGGATATGAATAATATGAATGATATGAATGATATGAATGATATGAATGATATGAATGATATGAATGATATGAATGATATGAATGATATGAATGATATGAATGATATGAATGATATGAATGATATGAATGATATGAATGATATGAATGATATGAATGATATGAATGATATGAATGATATGAATGATATGAATGATATGAATGATATGAATGACATGAATAATATGAATAACATTATTCAAATGATTCAATTCGACACAACACAACATGACCTAACCACCCAATACTTATACCCTCAGATGAAATCCCGCTTGCACATCTTCTACTCGAATTCCAATTCCAATTCTAATTCCAAGGAGCTGGGATTCGAGTATTATTAATCTATTTATATATGTATATTTATGTAGAAATTGTTTATTCAAGGTTTTATATATGATGGATTGGTTATGTATGGAATGGATAGGATAGGATAGGATAGGGGATATTTGGTAGCTAATATAATGAGAGGGGGTTTTGGGGGGTTGGGTTTGGGTTTGGGTTTATGGGCGAGGAGGGGATGAGGAGAGAGATGAGGTTGAGGAGGGGAGATAACCAGGGATGAGAGAATATTAGCATAGATGAGAGAGAGATATGAAGAGAGATAAATGCTGGAATCAAATGATTGTATACCGGTACTATTAGGTAGGTGTATGATAGATTTTGATGATTTGAGCAATGAATATCCGATATCGCATGAGTATCACTGGTCAAGTGATAGCTATTCTACATACGTTTTACAATCGAAGAAACATGTAAAATCCAGCGTGGAAAATTGTGGCAAAAAGCCGTAAAGGAAAAGTGTGACAAAAGCATGACTCGCTGTTTCTAGAGGTGGAAAGAGAAGGGAAAAAGGAAGAGGTTACTCATACTACCTATCAACCGACATTAACTACCCCGACTCAAACCCGACAATAAAATTTCTAACTATGAAGTAATCCTCATCCCCATCTCCATCATCATCACACAGCGATCTACACTCAATCATTCTCAACATTCCCCAACCGATTATCGGGAGCAATCCGTCATCTAGGATTTAACATACGCAAGAGCCAAGAAGCGAGCATTACAAACTAAACAGTGGCAATCGCGATATCCAAAGACGACTACAACCTTGATGTTAGTGTACGGTTTATTCCATGAAGATCAACTTGTCATTCTCAAACTTTCAACGTTCAACACCTACATCATAGAAAGAAAAGCCGGCATGGCATAACTGATCAACATCAATACCAACACCAACACCGTCACTCTCCAAACTTCTGACGTACGCCCTCCCCACAGAGAGGTGCGAAGGAAGAATTTTTTTTTCTTTCTTCCTGGAATGATTCTTCCAGATTCCGAAGAAGATATGCACTGTCATGCAGCCTTGCAGTAGGGCTTACACTAGGGCACTGCTAGCTAGCATCCGGATATCCACAATTACCCTCATCAAGTTCCATAAGGCCGACACTTGACGGTTTGGCATTCGGTGAGCAGATTCCCAGTTTATGGGGCCCCCTCGGTTGAGGAAAATCTGCAATTCTAGACCGAGTAGTTCATATGCCATGTGGTTATTGGGCTAAGTGTCGAAACGTACCCCACCACTCGAGCCGTTTCAATCGCACAATCGATAATCTAATCGATAACCTAATTGATAAGCTGCTAGTGGTTACCCGACAGGACATTGTACGGAGTAAAGTAAATACCAAACAGACGCTACGCACTACGTGGACAGCTTGTGTGTATGCGGAAAACAAAGCTTGGATCCGAATGGTGTGCGATATTCTCGGGTCCAATGTACTTTACTCTAGACCCCATCATCCTGTACTGTGCGAGAAAGAATTCTTACAAAGTTCGGAAACTTCCGCGTTCACAGAGACAGAGAGTCCAAACAATTCCTAATGCTTCAGCAAAAGAACCCGAGCATCTTCCACATTTGTGCAACGTAACCTCAAAGTTGTGTCTTTTGCATCTAACTTCAAGTATATTACGTACACTCCAATCCTAAGACTACCTACTAGGTAAGAGACGCCTACTTGACTTCTCACTCCAGTCCCGAGCCATGAATCTCGTAATGCTCCTGTAGATATTTTGGGAAATTGCTCGTAAAGGATGAAAAAGGTTTCGATATCACAAAAAGCTTGAAATCCAAAGTGGAAGAATAGGCGGGAAACAGAGGTGGCGGAGTTAAGCTTTCAAGGATGGAAAGGAAGGATAGGGTCTTTTTGGTTCTGCACAGAGAGGATTTTCTCGTACCTAACATTAGCAACGGATAATATTCGGGTCTGTGCGAGCTTCGTAATGTATCACATGATTTGCGTGGAGATATTTTGAGATCGTATTGGATTGTTTGATGGAGAATGCGAAGGCACGGTTGAGATTAATGGGATTGATGTTGTGACTGTGATTTAACCGTGGATGAAAGTTTGTAAATGGAGTTTGCTTGTGCTTGATCGTGCTGTCGTGGTCGATATGTGAGTCTCGTCTCATTTTTACACGTGATATTACCATTGGCTGTTGGTCATGAAGTTTCTTTCCCGCGCGGTCTCGACCATTCGCCCACCGATGAAACCAATCTTTGTCAGTAGCAGCACGAGCGGTGTTACTTGCCGTTTTGCTGAAAGACGGCAGAGTAGCTGATAGATAGCCGGGCAGTCTTGTTGCATGTTCCGGGGCACTCATTGACCAGTCGATTGAGAGAGTAGAATGCTTGACATGGATTGATCTGACGGACTCCGTGGGTAGGTGTTCGGATATTCACATGTTCCAAGTTCTGGGCATCGTAAAAAGTATTGCTTTCGTGGGCCATGGCAGAGCATGACAAGAAACACACAAGCCGTCAATTTCATTCATGTTTCTCAGCGTCGTATTTGGGAAATCAGACCAGATCAGAAGAGAAAAGGAGCTTGCAATTGAGTCTTGACGAGAGAGGAATGTTTCAAAACCCTTATCTTAAAATCGAATTCTAATGTTCATCCATTGAAGGCTTTGAAGGAAGATAATCCTACGCAGAGGACCATTCGCAATCAAAGTAAGGTTTTACCATCCAGAAATAAAGTTATGGCTGTGTTCATCCCAATCTACTTTGATGATTATGCAAGGTACCCGATCTGAGATTATTTTTATTCTCGTGGATGATACGAGGAGTGAGAATGCTACCAACACATTGATTGATTGATTGATTGATTGAAAGATGACGATAGCTTCAATATGAATCAAATTGTCAATCATGACGATAATCCGAGAAATGAAATTGAAGAGAAACAAGTCATCTCCCGCGTATTTTGAACCCCTGATGCGGTTTTTATCGATAATGAAAATGTTGATAACACGGACACATGTGAAATGGGGGGAAGGGCAGGTCGGTCGTTGGTGGCTTCACAACACTTTGATAGGGCTTTGAACTTTTCAAGAAAGTCATCTTCACATACCGTAAGACCCTCTCTCGGGAGATTCGGGAATTGATTGAAGTTTGGAAGAAGAACATGGCGTTATGGATTGGATGAATTCAATGAATGGGTTGAATTAGCAATTGGCATCATATCATATCATATCATATCATATCATATCATATCACATCACATCCCACATTTGCGTTACCAACCACTTTACGATTCATACTGAGCACTAATGAGAAAGTTCTCGATTCGTTCCTTTATACTCTTCCACTCTATCGGGGATGCAGATGCAGACGTAGACGCAGATGCAGATGCAGGAGTGAAAAGTCTGATGGAGGATTGATTATCTTAGGTAGGCTAGAGGCTAGAGGCTAGAGGCTAGAGACTAGAATAAGAGAATACAGGTAGGTACCTATCCTATGTAACTATGCATAATTAGCTTGCATGCGTGGATTATTCTTTTCGTAAACTGTCTCGACTGTACGATACCTCAGGATACGTCTGCATAAAAAGATTGAGTCTTGAGTCGTGACAACTCAGCTCATGGAAACGCGTTCGCTGGCGTTTTAGCTTGAACCTGCCATGCTATGCGATGGGTAAAAAGTTCTCTTTGCTTTTTCATCATGCAGGGGAGATCACACCTAGAACATCATACATACATATACATCTCACTAAGGCACTCAGGATTCCAGGTAGAGGCTGACTACGAGATCTGATTGGATGGCACTGATGAAACGGGATATTTCGTACCTGGCTAAGCATTTTTACGACCAAATCTCTGGGTAATCTTGTTATCCTATTGGAGTAAATTTTGGACGGTTGTATCACTAACGGACCGCTCCCTCTGTACGGAGTAGGGGATTTTTCAGGGGCAATTGCCTAATCAATAAAACTTGTACCTCGCTGACTCTTGTACTCTGTCTCTACTCTACGACAGACAGACAGACAGACTGACTGACTGACTGAGCCTTGGGAAAAAGTTGGGTCCAATGCATTCTCTTCTCGTGGTAAGTGGAGTGAAAATGGAGTGAAAATGGAGAAGAATGAAATCATCATGGGAATCAGTATCTCGGGAATTTCCTGGTGTTAGAAATTGAGCGAATAATCTAAAACATCAACGAAAAAGAAATTGCCATTTTATATCGTGGTATGTGAGGAATATGCTGAGCCTCCCTCCATCTGGGTACATTCCTAAGGGTTGTCAGGTAGCCAGGGAGGTCATTACATGGCGAGACACTTTGAAGATTGTCAATGGCGATGTCCTTCATGCCAATAGTGTTCCATGAAACACAATGCCGATGGTATGAACCAGTCTCGAGCCGGTCTCCAGTCTTCAGTCTGTCTGCCTGCCAGTTCTGTACTCCGTAAGACTCTCCCTCCCGTGGAAGCGATTGAACTGGAACGAGTTAAACTGCGGCCGCCTAGGTGTTGGTATTCCTAGATCCATACGGCGGCCTAGGTGTTGGTATTCCTAGATCCATACGTAGGCAGTAGAAAGAGAAGAGAGAAAAAAGGTACAGAATTTGAATAAAACATTGACATTTAATTGGTTCGTAATCCTTGAGAACATTACCCAGAGCAACTAGAGCAACAAAATAACAGCCATACAATCCAATTTCACTGCATCGTACTGTACCTGGCAGCTTGGCTTGGGTGATGATTATTCACTTTTTTTTTCATCCTAGCTTAAGTTTGAAGTCCCAGTCTGCCAGTGAGCCAGTCTCTCAGTCTCCCATACATCCCCGACCACATTGCCCAAGTGAAAAGCTCCACTTATAATTGGTCAATCACGGCTTGTATCCTTGCCGCTCCACACTTTTCCCTTCCTTCCCTCGTGTTTTCCTCTGAATCATGACCACTAACCTATTGTAGTAAGGCGGCCCTTAGCATAATTTACACAACTCTAGACTTCTTCCTAATGAATAGTGAATATTATTCATCATCGGCACATCTCTTTTCTCTCTCTCACTCTTTCATACATAATCCATCAACATCACACTCACTCACTCCCTCTCATTCCTTTTTAAAGATCTCAAATCCAGAATCTGATTATTAGTATCTGTCAATCCTTCAGAATACTACATTACACTCCTTCTTCCCTTTCTAAAAACAACAGCCAGCCTGTTCAACTCGTCCCACTCACTGCAAGTCAGCCTGAAGCCTTCTTAAAGAATTCATCTCCCTCCACAACCACACATCACTGTCAAACAAACATCTTCTCACTTCCACATTCTTTACTTCAGCCCTACTCACCACCGAGAAATATCAGCTTTCTCACTCCTTCCTTTTAAAGATCGATATCAAATCATTGAAATTGCAAGCCATTTTCACATCACACTCCCTCGAGGCTTCAGTTGAATTTCAAACTTGAGTTTTTGTTTCCAAGATTCAATCCAAAGATACCCATACTCAATAAACAATTTCTCACGAACAATAAAACAAACAAATCACCGTCAAAATGAAGTACGCAACTGCTATCCTTTCTGGTCTCTTGGCCGCTACCGTTGTAGCTCAACCACACGCCCGTCATCAACATGCCGCCAGACACGAAAAGCGAGATATTGAATGGGTTACAGAACTCGAGATGGTCACCGAGACAATCGACTATACCACCACCGTCTGGGTTTCTTCTGGTGAAATAGCTGCTGCAACCAGCAGCGCGGCTCCATCTGTTACTCCTACAACTTTGGCAACCAAGCCAAAGTCATCCGCCGCTTCTTCCACTTATATTCCAAAGTCTACTGCCGCAGCCAGTAGCTCTGAAGGAGCTGTTCTCAACCAACAACCAAGTTCCTCATCTGTCGCACCATATGTCGCACCATCTTCTTCCTCTGTCGTTTCCGTCGCCGCTCCATCCACCACCCCCGAAGTTGTAGTCCCAACTACTTCTTCTACCTCTATCGCACCAGTTCCAACCACTTCCAGTGTCGCGCCGGTCGTGGTACCAACTACCTCTAGTGTCGCGCCAGTTGTCGTCCCATCCTCAACCAGCGTCGCACCAGTCGTATCTTCAGTCTCAAGCGTTGTTGCGCCAGTCGTCTCCTCAGTCTCAAGCATTGTTGCTCCAGTCTATGTTGCATCCCCAACCAGCGCAGCTGCCCCAGCATCAAGCTCTCCTGCATCAGGCTCTTCCTCTGGATCTAGCTCTGGAGTCTGCCCTCCCGGATCTCCTTGCTCTGGAGATATCACTTTCTACGAAGCCGGTCTCGGAGCTTGCGGAATCACTACTGATGGATCCAGCTTTGCAGGTGTTGCTCTTCCAGTTGGACTCATGGGTTCCCTTTCAAACAGCAACCCATACTGTGGAAAGACAATCACTATCAAGTGTACCTCTACTGGTAAGACTACCCAAGCAACCGTCATCGATAAGTGCATGGGATGTGTGGGTAACTCCATCGATCTCACCAACTTCGCCTTTGATCAACTTGCTGAAGAAGCTGTCGGCCGTACTCAAGCCACTTGGTACTTCAACGAATAAATCACCCAATCCCTATTTTCTCGACTTTCACAACTTTGATATTCTGGTTTCTCCAAATACTCAAAATTAAGTCAAGAACTCAATTCTTATTCTCCTGGATATAACTATCGCCAGTTTGATACAACAGAAAGAGTAGATCTCTTTCTCATCTGTGGCTTTTGCATCATGGCTTCTTTTTGAAAAAGATAGTCGACGAATTTCTTTGGGATATCACATCATTGGGGTGCTTTTTTATTCGTGGTTGTTGGTTTGGTTCATACTTTGATTTTTGGAGAATTTTACGAGAGTTTGAGGGGAAATATCTATGCATGGAATGGTTATGAACATGGTCAAATCATCGCATTACTTGTTTGGCTTGGCGTTTTTTTTAAACCCCGCCATGGGACTTTACGTTCATACGGTCTTCGGCAGGAAAAAGGAGCACATGCATTTTGCGATACCATAACCATGTTATGCAATGGAAAAGACAAAAGCTTGAGGCAAAGGAAGGCGGGTGGATGTTTCATATCGAAAAGCAAAACTTGAAAAAAGCAACATGAAAATGGAGATATATTCAGAGACAAAACAAAATGAAACCCCTTTCGGAAAGGAAATAGCTTCTTGTACATACATATAACTTTACGATAGACTTAGTGTTTTGATTAAACACGAAATTTGCTATGAATTTTTCATACACACATATCGCTTTCTTATTAGACTTTGATCTACTTGTGATTTGATGATTTGCTGACTTGTGATTGATTGATTGACTGAATGACGGACTGCTGATCACAATTTCGATCATGCATGCGCATGAGGGTCTGTGATATGAGATGGATGGATAGATGAATGAATAGATGAGTTAAATATACCACGAAGTATGCACCTACCTAAGTGAGTATTATTTGTGACTTTTGCGCATAGCGTGTTCTGTACTTGCTTTCTTTCTTTGCGGGTGGCTGTGGTTTTGCGGGCTGGCGGGAGAGGGAGAGGGAGAGGGAGAGGGAGAGGGAGAGGGAGAGGGAGAGGGAGAGGGAGAGGGAGAGGGAGAGGGAGAGGGAGAGGGAGAGGGAGAGGGAGAGGGAGAGGGAGAGGGAGAGGGAGAGGGAGAGGGAGAAGGTGTGATGTTGATGTTGTATCTTGTATGAACATTGAATCTTAATCCCATCTACTCTTAATCCCAAAGTCCTTACCACTCAACACTCAACACTCAACACTCAACACTCAACACTCCTAATTATCTTTTCCTCTCTCAAAAATTTCATACGTCATCTATATCTTAAAAGTTGAAGAGTTGAAGAGTCGAAGAGATAAAAAAATTACAATCGCATGTATCGCTGCACAAATCAACATTCTTCAAGTCCAAGTCCAAGTTCAAGTCCAAGTCCAAGTTCAAGTCCAAGTCCAAGTTCAAGTCCAAGTCCAAGTTCAAGTCCAAGTCCAAGTCCAAGTCAAAGTCCAAGTCCAAGTCCAAGTACAAGTACAAAACAAAACGGGTATAATTAACTAAAAACTAATAAGGATGCACAGAATCCGCTATATCGACCCGATCCACCTGACCTCTTCATTATCATTCGCATCCTCTTCCCAATCATCCTATTCCATTAAACCCAAGGTCAAACTATCAATCTAGCATCCTATTACTACCGATTCAAACTTAATAACCCCTCAATATACCTCTTCGTATCTAACCCTAATCCCGCAGCTCCCCACCCCCCATCCGCCGTACTTCCTGTCCCTGCTCCTTGACCACCCATTCCCCACCCCGCATATCCATATCCGTAACCTCTTCCTTGTCCCGCCTCCATATAATCACTCGCCCTCCTAATTAGAAAAACTTCTTTATCCATATTCCTTTCCTCTGCCCCTCCCTCAGCATCACCCTCATCCAAGAAAGGATGTGCAGGCCCACTAACTACTGTACTCCGTGTTTGCGATTTACTATTTGCCTTGATGCTCGCATCCATGTCTTTGTTCTTTCTTCCCTTATCACTCAATCCCCCCATAAAAGTTCTACTCGTTTCACTTTCCGCCGAGTTCTCGGGTATAAGTGACGGAATGTTGACTTTCGACGTCGGATTTGTTGTTGCTTCGGGAGGTGCAGGGGGAGGTGCAGGAATGCGAGTCCAAAGAATCCAATAACCTCTTGACGTTTTAGCCGTACGTTCCAATGTGTTCTGATCAGTAGTCGTAGCAATATATGTATGCATTATTTGCAAATGTGTATTTAGAGCTTCGATTCGAGACCAAGGGAGACTATCCGCTTGTTCTTGTGTTTGAACTTGCTGAGGATCGGGTATATTAGGGATATTTGAGTCGAGAGTTAAAGTTTTGGGGTCCCAGAGAAGATCATATATGGGAGCTGTTGGATTCTTCGTATTTGCAAGAGGAGAAATCGGGACTTCTGGTTTAGGAGCTCGAAAAGATGTGGATTTGAGAAGAGGTTTGATGAGAGACTGGAGTTGTTTATGAAGAGAACGGTATAAACCCTTCAAGGCTAAGGTGTCTGCTCGTAATTCAAAAAGGAAAATGAATATGAATGGTTTGCTTGCATAAGCCACGACTCTTAACTTTTTCACTTTGTTTCGATCTTGACTTTCGAATGAAGCATTAGAATGGCCTGTACCTTCCGAACCACTGGCGTTTTTGAATGATGTGCCAAAATTAGAATAATCAATACTGATATCAGCTTCCTGGCGAGCATCTTCTTCGCGTTCCAATTCTACGGTTAAGGTACGAAGTACAAGTCGATGGCTTTGGCCCTCGAGATCTTCGTCTTCATCGTTAGAATCCACGAGTAAAGTCATTTCACTGTCCATATCACCCATTAGACCTACTAAATAATGTCCTTTGGAATAGTCGGACTCCTGTGTGGGTGTTGATGTTCCAGTTGTACTGACAATACCATCAATCGAAGAAACAAGGGTAGATGTGTTACTCGAGGGTCTGCTGCGCTCTTCTTCTTTTGCTGCAGATCCGCCTAAAGACCAATGAGTTCCATAACCGAATTTCAAGTATTGTGCAAGCTTGTTGCCCTTCGATTCACCATCTGTGCTTTCAGTGCCTTCGGTACTTGTATGACTGGCGGGATTTCTGCGAACTTTCGGGTATGGCGGTACGGATTTGAGTCTGGGTTGATCAATTTGATCATCTTGTTCGACCACCGGTCTAGGCTCAACCGTACTGATACTTGAAGATCGACTAGGCGCAGGTCCATCGTTAGGCCCATCATGAATTGGTATCTCCTTACTGAGACTAGATGTTGGTCGGGCAGTATTCTTTGCATCTCCAACTTTTGAGTCAAGTCTTGGCCTGGGCTTAGACTGCTTTTTTGCGCGACGGATGGAAGAGGGGTTGTCAAGAACTCCATAAGCGTATGGACCCCACTTATAAAGATCCTCAACCCAATGCGAAATATCTCTAATTGATTTTCTTGACAAAGCTCCAGTACCGAGAAAAATTGCACCATCTTCTACGGCGGGTTCATTTCCAGAACCCAACCAAGGAGCAGGTTGCTTGGGGCGATCGGTAAAGCCTTTACTGGTATCTTCTTTCGAATTCGATCGCGCTTCTCCGAATCTTGAGACTATCACGTCTACAAGCCCATCCATTTGTCCAACGAATCCTTCAAGGACTTCTCTCTCACCACTGCCCCTTTCTTCCTCTCCGACTCCAACCCCAAGTTCTCCGCATGCAGCAAGTTTTATCCCCCCATACAAATTGTTGGCAGGATTTCCATGCATAAGTACATTCCATGTCGAGATATATGTATCCCAATATCTACCCAGAATGCTCACAAATTTGGAGCGCTTCGTTCGAACAAAGAGAGCGCTCATCGAAGCAGCATGATGAAGGAGAAAAGTCGAGTGTGCTCTCAATACGTCTGCCAGGAGCAGTATCGCAGGTTTAACTTCTCGAGAAGAATATTCGACGGTTGCTTTTTCTTCGGAAGGTTTTCCTTTGGTAGCTGGTGTCTTTGCTGTGCCCGGCAATATCGTGAGATTGATCGACTATGCATGTTAGCACAATGAAGAAACTCAAGAATAAAAGTTACTAACAGCCAATATCCACCAGCCAGATTCTAATTCATGAAGAATAATGCGAGATTTCTCAGTCTCGATAGCGTTCACTGATCTACCCTCAGAAAAACTCCTCCCAAATTCTACCATTCCCTGAGCAAGCCCAATCTGTCTCAATTGTTCATTCTTTGCCTCCTTCGCCAAAGCGCGCGCCTCTTTCGTATCCGTAAGGGAACTTCTCTTGTGCTCATTTTGCTTGATCGAGGGGTAATAATAAACAATTTGATTGTCGAGTGTATCATCGGTAGACCCTAAGGAAGGATTGTAGATGGCTAGAAAGCCTAATTGCGCGGGTACTACCTTTCGGTTTTGCTCAGACATTGCATGATTGAGGCATTCAACGAGAGAAAGACGAGGATATAAATATATTGTAGATCATTTATTGATTGAATCGCGTCGGTCAGTTCTTAAATTGGTGTGGAAGTAAATGTCCGGCTATGGGGAAGCTTAATGTTCATTAAGGTGATGTAATTCGTGGGTCAAATGCATGGCACAGAACATGCGATTTTAGGCCGGCTTACATAAAATATCAAAGAGTTGCGTGCACGTGATGCGAAAAGATCAGTATGGTGGAAGCAGCTCGAGAATCGTGATTGAAAGAAGTCGTCGGCTTGACATCGACAATGTATAGCGTAAACTGAACTTGTTCTGACCGCAATTTTCCACAATCATGAAGCTCAAAGCCAGAACATCTCTAGCTGTACTCGGACGGATTGTACACCCATCGAAGCCATTTTCCATCCATGGATTCCATTCTCGACTTTTCACAATAAACAGTACCTCAAAATCCACGAAACTCTCAGCACCTTTGAGAATTTTGTTTTGTGGTTCTGATGAGTTTAGTTGTGAGTCTCTTCGGTCATTGGTGGCAGAGAAGAGGTCAGATCCAAAAGGAATTGCTTCTATCGATGTTCTCGTTCGACCAGGTAAGAAAACTGGAAGAGGCATGAAAGAGACCCGTGAAGGTAAGCTTCAAATTTTGTCGTCAGTTCTTCGTTATGCATGCTGATCATTGTCAGTACCGTTGAAGAAATTGGCCCAAGAATTAAACCTCCGCATACATGAGAGAGACACATTCACCGGATGGGATGTAAGTTTTAGTTTTCGGATCTGCATTTCATTCTTTAAAAACCTTGACTGATGATCAAATTTATAGCTACCGAAACCAAATGGAGAACCAATCAATCTTATCGTAGCAGTTTCATTTGGCCTCTTCGTTCCACCACGCATTCTCAACAGTGCTGAATATGGCGGGATTAATGTTCATCCTTCACTTCTGCCACAGTAAATTTTTGCAACGCCACTTATATATACCCAGGCTAACCATGATATATAGATATCGAGGATCTGCTCCACTCCATCACACTATCATGAACGGAGACACAATTACTGGTGTCTCACTTCAAACTTTAGATCCACACAAATTTGATCATGGCGCCATTCTCTGTCAAGAGGGTTTTCCCATCCCACAATCTCAAACAATAAGTTATCAAGGTCTCCTGGAATTGGTCACACCTAAGGCAGCGAGCTTGCTTGCAAAGGGTATCAGAGATCGAGTTTTCATGGATCCAAAGCCAGACCAAGGACTCAAACTTGCACACAAGATTACACCAACTGATAGATTCATTGATTTCGAGGAGGGATTGTCCATCAATGTTGAACGAAAGTTCCGAGCACTGGGGCGACTTTGGTGCTATACTCGTACTTGGTGGTCTGGCAAGAACAAAAAGAGGACAATATTTGAAGATTTTGAGGTTGTACCAATGCCAAAGCAATCTGGCGTGATTCCAGAACAGGTGCTTTTGACATTGCCAAAGTGGGAGTACTTTTGTACTCGGGTGTATGAGGATCCTACTCATCCAGGATCTATCATCATTCCTACGGTTGAACCAGGTGTGGGGCTTCGAGTTAAACACATCCTCGTAGAAGGTCAGGTGGTTGGTTCAGCCATTGATGCTATGCATAGAGTATCAGCTTTCACCAAACATCCAGGGGACGACAAGGATTTGTTCATGGCTGTAGCATTGACAGATATGTCGGAGGATGGTAAACAATTGGTTTTGCGCGATGGCAAAGGCTCTGAGTATGCAGCGAAGCACCTGGTTATCCCAAAGGTGCTCAAGATCAACAGAGCGCGCCACATTGACGCTTCACCCAAGAATCCAAGCCCCCTAGATTGAGATGTAATTATCTAGATGTATAATAGAATAAAAATTCAAGCAAAAAATCCTGAAATCCGATGGTATGTAGTGTATCATCTCCTGCTTCGGGAGTTGGAGGTAATGATTTGACCCGCGGAAGATAGGTGGCGGGGTTGAAATGCCTTCGAAGCCTTGGGAGGATGGGGAAATGTTGATTTTGTGGCATTCGAGAATCTGGAATTATTTGGCAAACACCGAATAGGCACGAGCTCGGGAAACATACGATATTAAAAAGCAGGGAGGAGAAAGTCCAAATAAACGGTGTAGTTCAGAGACAAACCAACACATTGCCGAGAGCGAGAAGAGTGTTGTAGTCCTTGTCTGATACTCCCTAGAAACAAGACTTCTCGGTATGTGTAAGGCTTACGAGGAACAACGATGGCGCAACTTCTATAGTGAGGGGTGAAAGATCTCCGTTGCTGAAATCGAGGAAAGTTGCTCGATCAATACCTGACAAGCACCAAACAAATGAACCTTCCAATTGCTGGAATAGGTTGAAGCAATGGCTAAAGCATATGTGTATTGAGGACGGAGAAAAGTGTAATAATCGATGCCGAGAACAGTCATCTAACTTTAGTTCATTAGGCAAAAGAGATGATTTTTCTTCCATTGTTGTAATTGAACTGTAAAATGGCCCCTCTGTCTGTACATTTGATCCGTCTGGTGCTGCCAGGGGAGGCTACTTTTCATTGCTTAGGATAAAAAGAGCAGACCAACCAGTGCATAATGGGCGTTAAGAAGACAATGATTGCGATTGTTAAGTATAAGAGACAGAGGTTGTCGATCTATCTGGTTTCTCAGGGACAGCACAAGGTCAATTGCTGAATCCGAAAGATGCATTTGATTTGCCCAAAACCGCACCAAAAACGAAGTAGTCCACACTGCTGTAACGACGTCGAGTAATGATTGATCATTCTGTGCTCTTAAGGGATGAAATCGTGCTATTATTGAAAACGAGAAAATTGATTCGATTCGCGTTTGGTACGTGGCAGAAAGTATATGCTTGATATCTAGATGAAGAATTGGAGACTGCTGGTCGTATAGTAAGATCCAGAGACGAAATCGTCGAAACCGTTCGAATGGCGACGAGAAGGTGAGAGATCCGAACCAGATATCAAGAGACGAGACGCTTTACGATCACTAAGGAAATGGGAATGGCCTAAGCCTTAGCTGATAGACCTGAGGGATGCTTTATACTGAATGCTGGAAGGGAGGGAAGGATCTAGTCAATCGGCTTGATCTATTTGAAGGCGATATCCTCCCCAGGACCGGAAGAAGACGAGAAAATGGTGGAGCTTTTCTAGCGTCTTCAAGACGAGCACTTTCAAATGCTGCAGAAGGAAGTGTTATATATAGTCCAGTAGTCTGATAGCTTCAAAGATCTTTCGTAACACTGTTGCAAAGAAAAAGCAGAGCAGAATCCATCTGGCGCTTCCGAAATGAGAATAAGTCGAAACAGGAGAGAAGAGGAGAAAATATCAGAATAGCCTAGCAAATTCAAAGACGAGCCCCTTCTTAGAGTTGGAGCAAAGTGAGAGGAGAATAGCAACCGTCTGGTAACTCTATACCATGAGCTATTAGATGGTTACAAGAAAACTGGAATTAGCACGCCCAAATTGATAAATCTTGAGGTGAGATTCGTGGCAGGTCTAAAGGACAGCGAGAATATGGCAAAATCCCTCTGTTGCCCCCAAATCGAAATAGTCCTATGCCAAAACAAAGACAGCAACGTAATAGATTCTCTTGATATCTTCGAATGCAGCAGTGTTTCAACGGCATCGTTAAATCCGAAATTGGTCAGAAACTGTCTCGTCAATCCAAAGCGAGAGGGCTCAGGTGCTGCTAAGGAAGAAGAAAGTATGCCGAGTTCGTCTGGTAGCTTTGAGCACGATATCGCTCCAATAGAAGGAGTAAGACGAGAAAATGTGGTGGAAATCGCCTGGTATCTCTAATGGCGATAGGGGTTCGACGGAGAAGCAAAGATAGTATCTTTTCCATGTCTAATAGGCGCCAGGGAGGAGAAGCAATCGATGCCGATAGAAGGAGAATAGAAGGCTGGTGCATGTGGTAGAACCAAGACCGGAACCATTCGAATCATTACGATAATGTAATGAAAGCGTAAAGAGTCGTCTAGTCTCCAGTGAGGACGATCGTGTGAATGCTAAAACGTAAACACGTCACAAGCTGCCCAGAAGTTTTGCCAGAGCTACAGGGAGAAGTTGATAGTAAATAGTTCCAGGGAATGTATATTGAAGCTTTTCGGGGGTACGATAGTACAGTAGGAATTGTCGAATGACCTTGGACCGTCTTCGGGTCTTCTCGCGAGCGGAAGAACGGTGTGGTTTGTCGATTAAAGAAATATGATTGTCTTATCTGGAGAAAACTGGGCGATCTTGCGCGTTGTGTACCTTGCGAAGAGAACCTAATCTTTCGGAGAAAGCCCTAATCGATGATAGATAGCTCACAAGGACCGACGTCGCACGAAGAATCATCCGCAGCTTTCTCATTTAGACCTTGGACCGTCTTCTAGCCTTCTCGAGAGCAAAAGATCGGTGAGGAGTGTCGATTAAAGGAAGAGGAGGGGGAGAATGAGGTGGGAGAGAGGAGATGCGATACTCGTATTGGCTGAATAAGACTGAGACGACCTTGCGCTTACTATGCCTTGAGAACAGACGTCTCAAGGACTGAATACGCACGAAGAATCGCCATTAGGTCTCTTAGTTGCCCAGAGACGAGGCTGCGATATGACAGAAGCGAAAGAGAGGCGAATGATGAGACCGTTTGGTATGATCAAGTGACGGTAAACTATCAATGTGAGGAAGTAGGATAATGAGGGTTGTCTAATTGAAATCGCTCGGCTGATCGATCGATCTCATTGTTCTCGGCAGGTGTTCCCGGAAGATTCCCCTAAGCTTCTCGACATCCAACCCCATGTTTCGAATCTCCGCGTCAGTCGGTTCCTTGTAATTTTCCCTGAGGATATCGCCAAATACCCCCCAATCTCTGCCAAGTTTGATTTTCGGGTAGATCCACCCTTCCCCTCCCGAAGGATCACGAGTTGCTTGCTCAATGGCTTGCGCAGCTTTCTGAAAATTGGTACCATGCGGAGCGTAAATAGTTCCAAGTCCATCACCTGGATACTTTGTATACATCAATTGCATGGCATGCACCATCTCATGGGCAAGGGTCCCCAACATTTGACTTATAACTTCGTGGCAGTGCCGTCTAGGGTATAAAGTGACTAAGTCCAAGATGTATATGGTTACACGGTTGATTCTGCCGTCGAAAACGCCTTTGGCGAGACCTAAATTGGGACCCAAGCCATTATCCAAATCAGAGACCAAATGAAGTTCGAAGATAATCTTGATCTCTTCGTCAGCGGATTCTTCCACGACAGAGCTTTTGACCATTCCTCCGAAGAACAATTGATTATAGATCCTCGTATAAGTTGCAAGGACAAATTTGGTGTATTGGATGGTAAGGTCAGTTTCGGGGTCTTGGATGGAGGCGATAGATTGGCACAATTGTAACGATCGTAACGATTGGTCGCAAACAGGGTGATATTCGATGTTTTGTGACCTGCGTACACAGTGTAAGATCATTTCAGAGACGTCAGCCCAGCTGTGAGATACTGGCTTCATGATAAAAGGATCACCAGGATTCTCAGGATAGAAAATCAATTCAGTGGGAATAGGTGATGGCAAGCCGGGGTTGCCAGTGTCCAGCTGCGGGTACTTCTCGTCCCATGACCCAGAAGAGGTTGTGGACCATTGGATACTCATTGCTGATAACTGTGTGATAGACCACCTGTAATATTTGAAGTTTATATGAGAGTTATGAGAGAGATGGTACTGTTTGACGAAGAAACAGGTAATTGTGGTGTGGTTTGGGAGTTATGCGTGCAAAATGGATTGATTTTGAAAATTGTCTATCAATTATGCGTGTATCTTCAAGCTTAATTGAAAAAGGCTGGCGAGAAATTGCTCTAACTCTATGGAAAACTCTTCAAACTACAAACTGAGTACCTTCACGACTGAAATTCACTTCTCAGCTCTCAATCGGGTCAATTTTGACATGGGTCTTCCATCAGCCTTCCCAAATCAGGCTACTTTAATGCTGCCTTGCCTTAGCTTCGTTGTGTCAAGATTACAGCCTCTTTATTCTGATTGAAATCTTTGAGGAAAAGTTGATTATTGGCTTTATTAGTTCATTTTAGGGTTCAAATGGATACTTGTAAAGATGAACAGTATATTGCTATTGGACTCGCGTAAATCAGGGGTCAAAACAACAATCCTGACTTTTCAGCACTTAATTTTTAATCTCGCCTACGAACTCCTGAGTACTCTGATCAACTTTTTGTAACAACAAATCAACATTCTTTGTTTTGTAAAAAAAAAGACACAGTAATATACATAATTTCTTAGGGATTACCCCAAAATGCATTGTTGTTAGACAGACTTGAGGTATAGAAGTCAGCCCTTCTTGGATCAAATCTTACTCTTACGATAGGGCATCTCTTATTATATTTGAAAATGTCTCATTGAATGAGCCACTATCAAAGGTCCACTGGTGGTCCAAATAATAATATGTTTTCTACAGTTGATTGCTTCTCCACTCTTCGTATGGTTGCACAAGATACCAGTAAACGTCTTGCGCCTGGCTGGGAATAAAATGAGAACATGTCATCAACATAGTGAATTTGGGGCGGGAACTTCCATCCTTATCATAGGCAGCAGATAGTACATTCAAGCTTTCTTGTAGTTGGTTAATACATGGATTGAATTAAAATTACCTAACCAGCCTTTTTTCGTAGAAGGATCTCCAATAAGAAATGTCGATTGCGCCCCACGTGCGGCAGTGGATAGGCCACATGTGACCCTTAAGAAGTGCACAGTTAGCTCTCAAGATTCAGTAACGTGCTCTTGCTCTCACCTTGCATTTTCATTTCGCGATTGTAGCCTCATTCACACTTCCAATAAGAGTCACAATAGAAGTTTGTCTTTTCTGCGTCTAGATCGACCACTATGTGCCGAATGCAGTATATAATTTGAGCAGTTTTTTTTAGCATTGTAGACTGACGACATAAAACTTAATTGGGTCGAAGAGCTATATATCTATTTACGGATCGGTAAGAGGTCAGACGTCACCAGCGAAAGCCACTTGTAGGCTCTGCGTGTCCGAACATTGAGGAACAAGTTAGAATGGAACGATATCTATGATCCAGATGTGAGAGGATTTGTTAAAAGCCTCAGAATTGAAGACATCAATGCAGATCTTTAGTTACCTATTCACAAGCTTGAAAGGAATAGATCTAAAATGAATCGAAATATTTACTGCATTCTCTCATGTTCGAGAAGCCCTGGGCCAAGAAACGGGAGACCTGGATGACAAAAACCAACCCACGGCAGAATCTGGCACATATTTATCTCGTCAAATCTGTGTTTCTGTAATAGAATACATAGAAATTATGCGAATTTATTTGAATGTTTAAAAGCTCCGCTATATCTTCTAATGCTAGTTTACTGCTGTGTAGCTGTTGTTCAATATAAATATTTGAAGTATCCAAACGTCATCAGGCTTGAAAAGGTTCCTCAATTCTGTGGGATAGGCTATCCTAATTTGCTTTCTTAATATGTATCGGCTTTGGGTCTCATGTGTTGCGCAATGAAAACATACCGTGATACATGCACGTGATCTTCCACTCCCAATGCTTTATACGTAAGCCCAGTAGCGTTTCATCTAACAAAAATACATGCAAAATCTGCGCAAAAATGGGAGCATAGTTCAATTGGTGAGAACATATACTGAAAGGGCAGATTGCCCAGATCTTCATTATAACTCTGGTGCACCAGGGGTGATGGTTCATGAGGCTCTCTGACTGCATGTATAAGATGCGAGTTCGATTCTCACTGCTCCTAACTCAATTCCATACCGGCACTCTATCTGAGGGTACCGTTGTGGAATAACCTCTTTTTGCTGTGTTGAACCTCTTCTTCCCTGGCATTTTCAATAGGGTGAAGATGCAGAATATTGAGAAGAGCCCTCTTTAATGCATACATCTATGTTTGTTTGTAGATCACGTTTTGGTCATCAAATCAATTCTAATCATTCTGTTCAATTGCGGGGTACATGCAGATATCCGTTTCTCCATGCAATAAGCCTCCTTATCTCCACACACCCACTTTACTTCAACCATTATCGCTTCTGTGCTTGCTACTTTCTTTCTTCATGATTCAATATCTCTGTGTCAATGTCAATGTGAGTAGGTCAATGTAAGTAGGATCTGCTTTGAAAGGGAAACAATGAAGGAAAAAATTGTTCGAAAAGTAGAACGCACACATCAAGCACCCGAGCGCAGACAGTCATCGGCACTGGAAGCACCGCAAATCCATGATGATAGACAATGGACATCAGGCGCACGTTTATATGGGATAACCAAGCCTGATGTGTGCGTGAGTTCGAAGCATGGCGTTCCTAATGTTTAGGTAACTTTGTCTTTTTAAAGTTGGCTCGCCTTTTCCCTCTTTTCGGACGAACATAATCTTCGGCGCCGAAGCGAATCTCTCCAATGAGATAGCAGCATAGAGATATTAGTCAATTATCCTATTGTCTCAAGTTGATGTACCAAGTCAATAGCACCCTAGTTGAGCCGGCACAAAGATGGTGAGATCACAAGGGATATCCGAGATGCTAGTTCGAGCCTTGCTCTCTCCGTTTTGTGAGTGGCCCACATACCAAAGTAGCTATACTATTGAATCCCATGAATGATTGGAGATGTGAGGATGTAATCGCATTTCTTCCTTTCCGAAGAAGTGAGTTGTAAGTTTCTGGCAGCAAGGATGTGGTTTACCAGTGACTGCACTCGGATATTCATCTATCCTGCAGCAAGCCTTCGAACCTACATACTAACATTTACAACCGCAAAAATGAATCAGAGAAAATTAAGACTGCCGAGTTCTACCCATTTGAAATATAAAATCTAAAATGAAGTCGAGTATTTAGAAGCTCGAAGTACACCTTGAATACGGCCAAAGAGTTATTGGTTTGTGCATTCTAAGTAGACTATATTGAGGTTCTCATATTTGACTCATACCATTAACCGAATACTAGAAGATTTACAGCTGACTTCAGCTGACAAACCAACTTATCAGGATTGATTCATCGATATCAATAATCAAGTCAAGTCAATGAAAATAATATTGTTCAATATAGAGTGTCCGCATCATAATTGAGAGGATAACGCATACTACAGGCACATAGAAATCCCGAAATCAGCCAATCCCTGAGCCTCACAATGAGCTCGAAAGATAAGTTCGATTTTTAATGAAAACTTCACATCTCGTTTCTCTTTCAGCATTGTGATATTTCGGTTCTTCGTGGCGGTTGGTAGAATCTAGAACAAAAGCCTTCCGATGTGAATTGAGGCTTGAAGCTAGGGAATATGACCATTGAATCAGAAATAGCAATGCAAAGGTTGATTTTTTTTTTGAGAAAAATATGACTTTCCTTCTCATTTAATGGACACGGCTGGGATGGGTACTCCCAATCTGGAAGGACCGAGCCCGGTCAGCTTTCAAAGCAAGCTCATTCATTACACCTTCATATACGTCAACAACAACTTTCCATCATAATACATCGAAGGGGCTTTAGCTTAGTGTAGAGCAATGCTACAGTATGATTCGTACCAGGTGCCTCGCTCCCCCGGGTGGGTATCCAACGGTCGACCTAAGATGATTACTGCAATACGATCGGTGGTTCGAATCCATTAAGCTCCATATATTTTTGCTACTTTTCCATCTGCTTTTCTCAACCGGGATAATTGAGTGGTCTAAAGCTGAGAGTTTTCGTGTGCACTTATGGTCGTCGCGGAGTGGAGTCTAGTGTTTTCCGTATTTGTTTCTGAGCAAGGAAAGAGCAATCGCCTTCCAACGATCCAAACGTCCTTTCTCCAAATTGTGCAAGCTTATACAGATCTATATGCTAGGCTTCCACTGCCATTATTCTTGTATTGGAAGGGTTCTGGCTTAAATGGTACAGCATTTTCATAAACACTCAAGTAGAGGGTGCATCCAGGAATACACTCACCCGGGAGACTGTGACACATATGTATCTTGGGAGATTGCCAGTTCGAACCCATCCAACTCTATATCATTGGTATTATTTCTTTCCATGATTCTATCTCTGGTAATTTGTTGATCATTTGTGATCTTCGAAAATTGGGAAGGTAAAAGAGAAGAATATTCGTGAGCACAATTCAAAAAGAGCTACATTTTATTGGGAAAGTTTCTCTAACTCATTAGATGTTTGCTTCCTCGTCTCCATCAAGGTCTCAGTCACTCTTAACGATTTCTCAAATGAATTAACTGGAAGATACATTAATCTCATGATGTACTGTTCATGAACATCGCTATCGTATATTATGAAAGTGGTAGTGAGTGAGTGAGTGTATTGGGGTAAAATTGTGCGAGGAATAACCGATATTGCTTGAAGATTGTTTCCCTTGAAAGATTCATGGATACTAGATAAGCTGAATAAGAAATCTTGCTACTATGGTGAAGGTAGAAAATATTGAAGGACAGTATATTCTTCTTGCTTCGACTCTTTTACCATTCCGAAGTATCATTCCTCTATGCGATCCTATAGCTCGAGTTTATCCAGTGTAGGCAATAGTATACTATAGTAAAACGGTAGTGTGTATAAAGCTTTTAATATAGTAGTTAGTATGTATTAGATAGTTAAAAACTTATTGTTGTAGGTATTATTCAAAACTGATATTTATAAA